CTTCCTCATTGGTAAACAAAACACTAACATCGAGCTGGCAAACTTGTGTAAAGAAAGCCAAGAGCCCACCTGTGTTGGTCTCTGGTCATTATGACAAGTGCTCTCAGCTGCTCTCTTCTCCCTGCCTCCCACCCTCCTGCTTGGCTCCTGAGCTGTGATGGCAGCACTGGATTTTGTCCCACCTTAATTCAGAGCAAAGTAATTCATTTATGACAAAACATTCCAGTCCCATGAGGGCAGTTAAACCTTGGAACTGTAGAGGCAAGAGGGTGCTTCCTGAGAAAACTCATAGAGGAAACAGGTACCACCCACAAAGAATGACGCCTGCCCATGTCTGTTTCTCTTCCTTTTATTGAGATTATTATTGAGCACCTACTACATGCCAGGCAGTGATGTTAAGCTCCGTACATGTAACACCTTCCAAAATCCTCGCAATAATCCTGTGAGAGAGGGTCTATTATTATCCCCAATTTCTCAGATGGAGAAACTGAGGCTCCACAAGACTGTCCCTTGCCCAAGATCACAGTTTAAGTTAAGAGTAAATCCAGTCCAGCCTAATATCAGAGTCTTGACTCTTAATCTCTATGCTCTGCCCCTTAGTGTAGCTATGGCAGGATTTCTAACATCCTGGCCTGTTAACTCTCCCCCAGCTGAAGTAAGGCCCTCGCTTTCAGGCTTTGGGTAGTTCAAGAACCCTCTCTGGGCCTTGGTTTCCCCATTTGTAGAGTGAAAGCAGAAACATTTGCCATTCAGATTTGCTGTGAGGATTGAAGGGAAGTAACACTTATAAAAGAACTTTGGGAGGTTTAAACTTATATAGGACATCATGTTGTTATTTTTAGTTGTTGGACCTGTACCAAGTTGATAGAAAGCTCAGTGAGTCATCACGGTGAAGGTTTTACAGAAAAGCAAGTGTGACCTTGGGTCCTATTTACTGCAGCCTGGATGAGGGAAATGGACTGTTCTACTCAATTCTCTGGGGGCGTTGTCCTCAGGGCTGGCCTCGTGGCTGTTGGAGGGACTTGGACAGTCTGGGCCATATTCACTGACCAGGGATGGGAGGGGCTGGGCCATTAGGGCTCTGGAAAACCAGCTGTAGATATAAACCATGGGCAAGGGTTGCAAACTCACACATTCCAGGGGCCAGAGAGAGCAACTCAGAGTGGTGGGGTCTGTGGCTAACTGCAGAGTGCTGACCTGCGTAAGTACATAGCTGCCACTACTCTGGCTGACTGTGGCCATGCAGGGCAGAATGCAGGCAAGCATTACTGGGCTTCTGAGTTCTTGCAAGAAGCTGATACTTCTGGTCATAAATACCAAGTTATCCAAACAGAACATATGTGCTGAATGGATTAGGTCCACGGGCTGCCAACGGCAACCGTGACACAGATCATGTGGGGTTTATTCATTCATTCATTACTTTTAGCAAACAGTTCTGAGCTCCTACTTGGAAATGGGGACCCTGGGCCTTTAGACCCTCCATGCGGCTCCATTCTCTATACCTCCTGACCCCCCGAGCCTGTCAGACTATCCTGGCCTCACTCCCAACCTCCACGCCCCATCTCTTCCTGTCCTCTCCTGCCTCATCCTACCCTTGGCCCTAAGCCAGCCCATCCCTGGGCCCCTCCGCATGTGCCCTGGGGGTCTTGAGGAAGCCGGTGGGCTCTGCTCACTGCCTTTCCCATACTCTATCCAGGCTATTTCATCTTTTTCTCAGACTTCTCCAAAGATGCTCTGTACTTTGCCTTTTTTTTTTTTTTTTTTTTAATCAGCAAATGGCTTGCTCTCCAGCTTGACAGTGAAAACCATCAGGTAGACTTCCAGTGTCTGCCACCTCACTCACCTGTCCCTCTTACCACCAGACCTCATCTACCTGTGCATCTATATATCTTCCCCTCTTCTAGGGTGAGCCAATCTCCTTCATGGAGGAGCCCCGCCTCCCAGTCTACTAAGGTACTTGTTTCTGTCCTTTTCTCTCTCCTTTATCTTCAGCCTCTCCCTTCCTTCTCAGGCAAGTTCTCAAAGAGATGTCTACATTGATCCCTTCAACTCTTCCTTACTACTTACTCACCTCTCAGTCTCTGGGACCTGACTTCTGTCCCCATGGCCTGATGGTACAATGCTCACCACATTACTAATGGCTGCTGGATTGTCACATCCAAAGGGATGCTTTCCAGGCCTTCATGTACTTGACCTGGAGGCTGCAGGTGACTGTGTGAACCAGACCCTCCTTGGGACACTGCTTCTCCCTGGTGTCCAGGACACATTCTCTTTTTGTTCTTTTCTCATTTCTACACCTGCTCCAGGTGGGGTTTCTAACACCCACCCATGAGGGCTGGCGTGTGGCTCTAGGTTCAGCCCTCAGGTGCCTTCCCACTCTGTGTCCTCTTCCAGGAGCCCTTTTGCTCCCCAATGGCTTCAGCAGTAGCCTTCATGTCCACAATTCTCCAGGTTTTCTTTTTCAAAAACTCTAGAACAGACTTGCCAAGGGAAATACCATATAAGCCACATTTGTAATTTCAATTTTTCTAGTAGCCGTATTTAAAAAAAGGTGACAGGTAAAATTTTAATAATTACTAATATTTAACCCACATATCCAAAATATTACCAGTTCAACATGTAATCAATATAAAGTTATGAATAAGATTCTACATTCTCCTTTTCCTACTAAGTCTTTGACATTTGTACTTTACACTTACAGCAGATCTCAATTTGGACTCGCCACATTTCAAGTACATAATGGCCACATGTGGCTAGTGCCATCATATCATATTGGATGACACAGATCTAGATTCTGATTTCCAGCAGTCTGGAATCTAGAGATCCCTCAGAGAGAATATGTCCAAAACACAGAACTTTTCAAAGGTGGTGCCATCTGAGTGTGGCTTTAAAGAACAGTATTAATTTTTCAGGATCTAGGGTCAGCTATTCCATACAGAGGGAAAAGCATGTGCAAAAACACAGAGGAATAAGAAAGCAAGGCACGAAGGGCGTAGCGTGGTGGTTTATTTGAGGCTGTCTGGCACAGGTGACTGCCTAGTTTCAAATCCTGACTCACTACGTGCAGGCTGTGTACTTTGGACAAGCTAACTCAACTTCTCCAAGCCTCAGATTGCCCATCTGTCAAATGGGGAGACTAACAATAACCAATGCATACGTTGGTGTAAGAGTTAAAGGCAGCGGTAGATATAACTTGCTTACCAGTACCTGGCACATAGTAAATGCTCAATAAATGGTTATTATTATTTAGTAATAATACTGTTGCTGAACATAGAAAACACTGGAACAGATATGAAATTGAGAGGCAGAAATTATAAAGTTCTTAAGTGGTGGCCTACTGGCTTTGAACTTTATCTTAGAAATGGAGAGGAGCCAGAGAATGTTCGAATGAAGGGCATGATCAGATTTTTGTGTTAGATCACTCTGGCTGCAAGGAGGAGGCAAAGATCTGGGGAGAATGTAAGCAGAGCTGATTAGGTGTGGGGGAAGAGGGAGAGGAAGCTCTCATTTGTGACATCCAAGTTTCTGGCTTGGCTAAGTGGGATGGAGAACATAGGATGAGGGTCACATTTTCTGAGACGGTGGGCTTTCAACACAGAGCCTGAAATGCCTATAACATCCAGACTTCCAGTGGGTATCTGGAAATATGGATCTGGCTCCCAGACGAAGGTTTTGAGAATTTAGTACAGCAGGCATATCTGAAGCCATAGACTTGGTAAAAAGACCCAAGAAGAGTGACTGGGGTGAGACATGAAAGGGGCCAGGGATGGTGCTCTGGGATCATCTATGTTTATGAGGCAGATAAATGAAAAAGAATGTGGGAGGGAACAGTAGAGAGGGAGAGGCTATGTAGGTAAGAGGAGAACCTGGAGAGAGAGATGTCATGGAGGCTAAGAGGAGGGACTTTCCAGGAGCTCAGAGTGGTTAAGAGGGTCAAAGTTAGTAATGTCAAGTAAGACAACGTCTGAAGGGACCTTTGAGAAATCAAGAGGCTGGAGCCCTCAGAGAGAGCTTAGGTGTCCCTGACATGTGGAAGCCAGATTAAGGAGGGGAGAGCAAGGGAAGGGATAAAGGAGCCAGACAGTGGGTTCTTTCCTGAAGTCTGACTGACACAGGGAGGGGGCATCCAGAAGTCCACAACTGGACAGGGAAGCTGAGCTGAGGTGGCAAGGTTTACATTTAGGAAGGGAGAGACCCGAGTCTATGGGAGCCGGTCAAGGGGAGGCTGGAAGATACGAGCAAGAGGGAGGCCTCTACAGAGGGAGGGAGGGACTGGGTGCAGGTACCAGGGCTAAAGGGCTAGGCAGATATAGGTTCAGGTGGGCGGCTGAAGGAAGTTGAGTGAGGGCCTAGCTTCAGGACTCTAATCTCCCTAGGAAAGCGAAAGGGATCACTGAGGAGATCCAGCAGTTAGGGATGGGCAAGAGCTAGAAGTTCAGGAATGACACCTGAGGGCGAATGTTGCTGAGCTAAGAGAGTTAGAACCCCACTGGCTTCCAGGGCTGACGTGTGTGGGGGCAGGGTGGGTGGTGGGTGGGTGAGGGTTGGAGGTGTGGGTTAGTGGCAGAGTCTATGAAGTTTGATCCCTTGAAGAAACTTCCTTAAGGCTAGGCTCAAATGTCAGATGCTCTGAGGGGTTCAATCCATACCAGCCATGCCCTCCTCGAAGCCCTGTCCCCTCCCCTGAACTTCAGATAAGCTTGCAGTCCAGGGGCCTGGAGGTGTCTGGAAGAGCCCCTGACTCTACTGCCCCACTCCGGCTCCTTTAACACCCCCCACCCAGCTCTCACTGGTCAGATCTTAGAGACCTATTTGACAGGGGCCAGGGGTCATGAAGAAGGAAGTCTCTGGAGGAAGAGGGCATGGCAGAGGGTCTCTAAGGGTAATGCAGGGAGGCTGAGGGTGTGAGGGCGAGGAACCCAAACTGAGCTCTGAGCCCTCCTCTGAGGTATGGGCAGGCAGTCCCCTCAGAGGCCCCTCCTTCACAGGTGTTTGGCCTTGGTTCCGTGGCCCATATGGTTCTAGGAGGAAGCCTCGGGAGCTACCTCAGTGTCAACCTAAGTTTTGGCTTTGGAGTCACCATGGGCGTGCACGTGGCAGGGAAAATCTCTGGTGAGTGAGCCTGGGCCCTGCCTGGGAATCCCTTCCCCGCAGGCTCTTCCTGCCCATCTCTAGCCAGCACTTGCTCCGAGTCAGCCAGCACCTCACCCTCACTGGCTCCTTGGAGGGATAATACCCTAAACTCCTTTCCTCTGTCTTATCCAGACTCTTAATGAGCCCCCTTGACACATCATTTTTATTAGCTGGGTCAACTTAGGCAAGCTATTTAACTTCTTTTTCCTTAATGGTGAAATGAGGATGGTAGTCCCTGCCTTGTTGGGTCCTCGTGAGAATTAAATGAGTGTATTCCATAAATGCTTGCCTTATTATATTGTTGTTGCTCTCAATCTTATTTATTATTGTTGTTGGTTTCTGCTCTCGCTCTCACGACACATTTGCCCATCCCGCAGGGGCCCACATGAATGCAGCTGTGACCTTCACCAGCTGTGCACTAGGCCACATGTCCTGGAAGAAATTTCCTGTGTACGTACTGGGTCAGTTCCTGGGCTCCTTCCTGGCTGCTGCCACCATCTACTGCCTCTTCTACAGTGAGTGTCCTTCCCTGAGTTGTTTGTTTCTGGCCTCAGCCTCCTTCTCTGAAATATGGGTAGATCCAACCTCTGTGTCCTGGACTGTGAAAATGTCTGGGAGAGAGAACCCTTGGAAGCACTCTCCACCCCTCCATCCTACAACCTTATTTCTGGGCTCCAGTGGGGTTGAGCTAGGGATAGGTTCACACTCCATCTGTGTCTCCACAGCAGCCATTATCAACTACTCAGGAGGACATCTGACAGTGACTGGTCCTGTAGCCACCGCTAACATTTTTGCTACCTACCTTCCTGATCACATGACACTGTGGAGGGGCTTTCTGGATGAGGTCAGTGGTCCAGGGTGGGTGAACCTCCTCAGGCCCTCCCCACCTCAGGAAGAGGCCAGTAGGCAGCCCCTCACTATAGAGAGGACAAGAACTCTGGGTGGGGACTGTACCAAGACATGTCCCTGCCAGCGGGTTTGGGCTAGTGGCCCCGGGTGGCTGCCACGGCATCTGTTTCCCAGGTGATAGTTACAGGGATGCTCCAGTTGTGTCTCTCTGCCATCACGGATAAGGAGAACAACCCAGCACTGCAAGGGACACAGGCTCTGGTGATTGGCATCCTTGTTGTCATCATTGGATCATCCCTGGGCATGAACTCAGGATATGCCATCAATCCATCCCGGGACCTGCCTCCTCGCTTCTTCACCTTTATTGCTGGTTGGGGCACACAGGTCTTCAGGTACTGCCCTGCCCAGCACATTCCTGTGAGCTTTGTGTGGGTTCCCTGCATGCAGGGTGTGGGGGGAGGGGAGTGGAGATGATGTGAGGAGCAGCACAGGAGATTTCTGCAGAGCTGCCAGGTGGCTTAGGGAGGCAGGAATGGGTCCTGACCTTCCCCCAGACCAGCACTAATGCAGATCCTGCTCCTGGACTGAATGTAAATCCTGCCCCCAGATAAGTCCCTGTTCCTGAATCAGGGCGAAGCTGACCAGGGCCCCAGACTCAGAGGTGACTCCTGGGCTAGGATAGGGGTCACTCCTCTACTCTCAGGCCCTACTCCCTGTCTCGGCCTGGGTGGATGTAGGCGATATTCCAGGCCTTGGTCCCCTCAATAGGACTCTGCCTCTTGCCTGCAGGGCCAAAAACTGGTGGTGGGTGCCAGTGGTGGCACCGCCCCTGGGTGCCTACTTAGGTGGCATCATCTACTTGGTCTTCGTTAGCTCCACCATCCCACGGAAGCCCCAGACACTGGAGAACCCCGTGGAATACGAAGACCACAAAATACGCACGTTGCCCAAGACTATGGCTCCTCAAACCATGACCTCTGCCCTTACCCATGTCTCCGTGTCCCCCCACAACAGACCTTCAGTCCAGCCTGGCCCACCTTTAAGTGACTCCATCTACATAGAGCGATTCTAAGTAATATTCTGACCTGATTCTCACTTCAATAAAGCAGCCTTGTCCCAAAGTAGCACCCTCGCTTCCTGGGTGCCTCCCGTGGTTGGGTTTCCCTCCTGGATTCTCCCAGGAAGTCTAAGGTTATGCAGTAGCCCAAGGCTAGAGCATGGAACTAAGAGGCTTCCAACTCCTTCCAGCCCTGGGAGCCAGGGTGCCTCCTGGGGGAGAATGGGGAAGGGCCCACCTGCCCCCTCAGGAGGGACAGGATGAGATTAAAAGCTGCCAGACACAGAACAGTGAACTTTAGGCATAGGGCAGGAAAGGGATGGTTTTGGGAAAAGGACAATAGCTTGCTGGTTGGGGGGTCAGCTCTGGGGATGCCTTGAGCTGTCCTAGGAAAGGGCTCGAGACTCTCCCTCAGTTTTGGCCAGGCCTTGGACCAAACAAAACAAGGCCCAAGTGTGTAGGTCAGAGTTTCTCAACCTTTTTTCTGAGGGGCATCTCTTCAGAAGTCTTTTAGATATTTTTTCTTAATTACGTGATATTTTAACACCACATATATACTGTGTATCTATTTATATACTTTATGTATATCTGTACTTTATACAAAAATAGTAAGATTTTTTTCATCTCCCTCTTCCAAGAATCAATTTTCTTTCCCTTGGGGGCAAAATTACCCCCCACTCTTGAAAATGCCTGATGTTGACTGAAAGTAGGTAAGGGGTTAGACTCCTCTTCCTTCTTCCTTGTGCCAGAGCTCTCCCACATTAAAGAATTCCAGAATTTGAAAGATGCAGAGATGGAAATCCTTCCAAAAGGTGTAAAGACAGGAAATGAGCTCATGCCATTCGGGGGACAGTCCCAGAGGTTGGGCGGCAGTGGAGCAGCCAGGATCCACCGGCTCTGGGGCCAGGCAGAATCATCCTGCTTTCTGGGACTCAGAAGGCAGCATCACCCACGGTTCCTGTCATTGCTTGTTCATTTATCCTTTCAAAATTATTGAGTACCTCCCGTGTGCAGGCCTTGCCTGGGCACTAAAGCTGCTGCAGTGCATGAGTCTGGGTCTCTGCCTTTGAGGAGTGCAGTCTAATGGGGACAGGAGAAAAGAACTAAGTGGTAGAGAGGGGGCTGTACAGAGGCTGTGGAGCTCAGAGGGGGTTCATAGCCCACCTCGAAGCTGAGGCCAGGGATGGCTTCCCAGAGGAGGAGACAGAGCAGAGTGGGGGCCGGAAGGTATCCTTTCTGGGGCTAGTTGCTGTACTTTAGCGTTTGAGGGAACGGGGCAGAGAAGGCTGAGTTTTCTTCTGGAGGTGGGGCCATGGTGATATGAGATTTAGAAAGCCCTCCTGAGCTGCAGTGTGCAGGTTGCTGGAAGAGGGAAAGATTGGGGCCTGCAAGGGAGTGTGGTGAGAGGCAATGATCCAGGAGGAGCAGTGGGGCACCTGGTAGGTGTGGAGAGAAGGGATTCACTCAGTAGCACCCAGAAGGTAAAACCCACAGGACTTGGGCTCGAATTGGATGAAGGAGTGGGTAAAAACAAGGCAGGAGTCAGGGCTGACTTTCAGTTTCTAGCTTGGGCATAGGGAATTGGAGATGTCTCCACTGAGAGTAGAGCACGAGAGAGAAACTTGTCTATGGGACTAGAAGAGTAAGAGATATGTAGTCTTGGGCAAATTACTCAATCTCTCTGGGCCTTAGTTTTCTCATCTGTAGAATGGGTCTAATAATATTGCCTACCATTTATGTTGCTGCGATAGTCAATGAAATAAAACATATACAATGCTGAGAATAGTGCTTGGCACAGAGTAAGTGTTCTAAACAGTTATGCCTTTTGTAGAGTCTGGAGCTGAGAAGAAAGTCAAAGACAGTGATTGGGGAAGCCATGGTTGTGTGGATATAGCTGAGGCCATGGAACAGAGAGAGGAGGGTCAGTGAGCAGGATCTTGGGAGCTTAGCTAGGAGGTGGCTATGAGGTGTGGACTGGGTACCTCGAGATGTCTGGCGGAGGAGGAGGTGCAAAGTGGATGGTCAGGGGGCACTAGAAACAACCCAAATGTCCATCAGCAGGGGAATAGATACTTACAATGCAGTCACATACAACAGTGAAAACTAAGGCATAACAGCTACCTGCAACAATATGGAATAATTTGGGAGGCCTAAAAAGCAATGCAGTAGACTATATACAGTATCACATCAGTTTATACCATTGACAAACAAGCAAAAGTTAATATATTCTTTGGGCATACACATCTGATAAAACTTTTTTTAAAAAAAGGAAGAAATGGTTCCTCTGAGGATATAGGAATGGGAGATGAGATGAGGAATGGGAGATGCATGGGGTAGTGCGAGCTATTAATAATTTTCTAGTTCTGGAGTTGGGGAAGAATTTATGGGTTATATGATTGTGCTTTATAACATATAACTGTGATATACATTTGTTTGTGGGTATCACATATTTTAAAAGATGAAGAAATAGCTATAGCATGAGAATAGGTGATGAGAAGTGATAGGCTGGAGCCTGCTGAGATTACAGGGGGTCCAGGGAAAAAGGGAAGGGGCTTGAGTATGTTTGACATCCTACAGTGGGAGAAGCTGAGCCAGGGGAACCAAGCCTGGGAGTGAGCAGGGAAGTCCCAGTCAGCTGCCTCCCTCTGTGACCCTGGACAAGCCTCTTTCTTCCCCTCTCAACTTCAGTGGCCGTGTGAACACAAGGAGGGTGGCCTTTCTCATTCCTGGTGTTTCAGAGCAGCATGATCACAAAGGCCTCAGTCACGGAAGAGGTATATATGGGCCTCGGGGTTCGGGCTGCTACCCTCCATTGTCCCTCACTGACCACTTCAGCCTTCTGGCATCCTCATGTCCCTGGGAAGTGGCCTCAGAGACAGGGCAGCCAGTGGATCCATCCAGAACTCCTGCCTGCTGTCCACTGCTCTGCCATAGACCTGCACTAGGCCCATAGCTCATAACATCCTGTAGATTCTGATCCCAATGTCACGCTCTGATAAGCCCTGACCCTGGTTACAGAGGATTTCTGTGCACTGAGCACAGACCTCTTTCATTCTCTGTTGGTCGAAAGCCTATAACATGCCAGACAGCATTCCAGTGTCAGGGATACAGACACAAAGAAGATACATAAAAGTCCTCGTTCTCACGGAGCTGACTTTCTGTGCAAAACACATGGTGTGCTAGTGATACATGCTAAGGAGGAAAAGCAGGAAAAGGGGATAGGAAGTGTGTGGGGTGTGAAGATGGAGGCCTCACTGAGGTGACTTTAGGTAAAGACCTGAAGGGGGAGAGGAAAAGATCCATGTAGACACCTGGGGGAAGAGCACTTTGAAGCCTCACGTCATGATCCCTCTTCTCTACCTACCCCACGCCCAACCTTAGCTGAGGATTTGGATGGGGACAGGGATGGGACATGGAGGGGTCATTGCTGGAATGAAAAGGAGGAGGAGAGAGTGGAAGATGAGGTCAGAGAAGGTTGGTAGGGTGAATGGAGGACAGGCCTAGGGGAGAGTTGAGGCCCAGTCTTGGGGCAGAGGTGAGGGAAGTCTCTGGAGGATAGAGGCAGGTCACACTGCAGGAAGGAAATAAGCAGGCAGGATAGGGTGGGGCAGGCATCATGGCACCTTTGGGATCCTTGCTCTTGGCTCTGTTCTCTGTCTTGTGTGAACACGTGCATGTGCGCGCGCGCACGCACACACACACACACACACACACACACACACACACACACACACACGGTCTCTCCTGTAACCGTTTCCTGACTGGACCTAGGAGACGCATCTGTTCAGCTTGGGGAGCTGGGCAGGGCTGTAAGGCAGGGTCCTCTCCCACTCTCCCAGTCCTAGGCCCGGCATGGGCTGGCTATGTGACCCGATAGGACCACTCCTCTCTCTGGGTCTTGGTTTTCCTATCTGTACAATGAGGTTAGGATCTGTTGGTGTCTGGGGAGCCCCCCAGCTCTAACTCCTTCCAGCACTTTGAAGCCTCACGTCATGATCCCACTTCTCTACCTACCCCACGCCCAACCCTAGCTGAGGATTTGGATGGGGACAGGGATGGGACAGAAATAACTCCCAGCCCCAGGTCAGGTCCCTCCAGGGCTTTGCAGATAAAGGTTTGGTCCTCATCTGGTGGTCCTGGCTTTAGAAGAGCCCCTTCCTCCCTGTTTGGATTGCTCTCCCACTCCCACTCAGGGATTGGCACCCAGGCAGCACCCTGGTCTGCCTGTTCTGGCTGGTCCTTCTCCTTCAGATGGGGTCCTGCGGCCCTGGAAGAGATGGGAGCAGCCATCTCAGGCCAGGCTGGGGTGCTGATGCCCTCAGTGGGAGGAGGCTATGGCAACTCGGAGCCTGTAACCCAACTTTGGCTCCTCGTCCACCTCTGTGCTGAAGCTGGAGTGAGAATAGGCCTGTTCCCAGCCCTCCTGTGCACTGCAGGGACCATGCTATGGCACCTACAAGCACAGGTGGAGACCAGCCTGCCTGTGTCCAAATACCAGCTCTGCCACTCACTAGCTGTATGACCTTAGGTAAGATAGGATAATTATTGCTCCCACTCATAGGGCTGCTGGGAAGACGAGATGAACAATATGTGGCACGTACGGGATGTGTTCACTATTATTACGCTACACCCGCTTGTCGTCATGTCATCACACCCATCTTATATCTGAGGAAACTGAGGCCTGGGGAGATCGGCTTAGTAAGGGGCAGATAGTAGGGATTCTAGTCCTTATCAGTATGACCTTGGCTAGTTTTTGTTTGGTTTTTAAATTGTGAAATATATCCTGTAAGCATGTATATTACATACAAGTATTGTTAAAATAACAGGAAAATACTCAAAAAGCAAACCAAAAAACACAAATGAATAAAACCCCCGAACACTCAAGTGCTCCTCATCATGTTTTGGCAGGTTATTGAATCTCTTAGGCCTCGGTTTCCTTGTATGTAAAGTGGGAATAATGATACTCAGGAGTGAGGTGTTTCAGGTTTCACTTTTGCCACTAGCATTCATGGTGG